TTTGAGCAGCCCGAATCTACGATCCAATCATTTTTGTAGTCAATGCGTTCTGGTGTTGTTACCGTGAGGGCTAATTCTTCTTCTTCCTCCGTAGCGAATAATGCTTCAGCATCCCAGCCATCTTCACTATTCTCCTTCGAACTGAAAGTAGCAATATTACTTTCAACAGGCTCTTTCTTGGTCCAACAATCTTTCGCCATGTGGCCCATCTTCCCGCAGTTGTAACACTTGCCACTAAACTTTTTACTATTACCGCGATTCTTCCAAGCTCTCCCTGGACGAGAGCCTCCATTTTCTTGGTGACTTTGCACCTTTTCTCCATCCTTTTTAGATCCACTACCAGTGTACCGCTTGAAGGTGCCTTTGCTTTTGTTGGTGTAGAGCGCTTCCTCTTCACTCTTCAGTGAGACTCCTCCCATTTGCTTGGCCATAGCTTCTTGACTTGCAAGCAAATTTTCAAACTCAACAAGCGATGGTTGTGTCGGCCATCCTTGTATAGCGGCAATGAACCCTCGATATTCAGGTCTCAAACCATGGATAATTATTCTCTTCATCCTGGTTTCCCCAATAAGAGCTGTTGGATCTAATTCTGAAATTTCGCGGCATATTGACTTCACCTTGTGAAAGTACCGGGCAATCGTTATGTCGCGTTGTACCATCGATAGCAGCTCATTCTCGAGAAGTTGCAATTTTGTATCGTTCCTCTTCGAAAAGAGTGTAACAAAAGTGTCTCATGCTTCCTTTGGCGTTTTAGCATCCCGAATGTGCTCCAACATTTCTTCTTCTATTGTGGTCTTTAAAGCAAACATTGATTTGCCTGCTTTAATTTTCCACTTCCGTAAGACGCCGTTAGCATCTTCCGCTGCCGGTTGTGTAGCTTCACTACCACCGACAACCTCCCACAAGTCTTGACCTTGAAGGTAAGACTCTATACACGTTGCCCACGTGTTATAGTTTTGATTGTTGAGCTTCTTGATTCCTCCAACAACTTGAAGATCACCCATCGTATCGGCAAGACTTTGACTACACCGAACAAGCTTGAGTGACTACCGTGCAGAGTAATACACTACTCTCGACACAAAGAAGCTCCCTCTCAAGGTTTGTGATAACCCCAGCAATAATCTCAAGAAATTTTTTCTAATGTGGAAGATCAGTCAAAACTGCAACCACATAGCATACTCGGAATTTCAAGAGACTTTACAACCAATGCTCTACCAAGAATGATCCCTGACCGACTTGGCTCTAGATACCAATTGTTGAATAAGAAGAGTATCTAAGATAACTCTAATGATCCCAAGAAGAAGAAAATAGAGCACACTCTTAAAGAAAACTCACAAAACAAACTAATTAGCAAAGCTTTTCTTATTTAGCTCTAGGCTTTGTTTTTCCTTGGATGATATACAATGCTTGGGGACTTGGGTATTTATAGCAAACCAAATGAAAGCTACACCACACACTTAATTAAACCAAGTTTATTTACTACCACACAAAACACATTAATTGCACCTAATTATGTTGTCTTCCACACAACCTTACCTAACTTTGCAATTGTAAGCAATTACATCATCAAACTAGATATGGACTTGGGCTTTAGATTGGGTTGTGGATTACTTATTGTTTTGGGTTGACATTGATTCTCAACAACCACTTCTTGCACATTTGGACAAATCCTTAAGGATGACAATGGTGTTTTCCTGGCACCTTAGGCAGCTTGCTCTCTTACTCTCTCCTCATCTTGGCTTCTAGCTTCGCTTTCGGATTCCCTTCGCTGTTCAGCAGGCCCTTTCCTTTGTTTGTCAACTTATCACCCATTCGGAGTCGATCCAATAGCTTTGCATGTTGAATAGAAGTGATGTAGCCCTGTCCTGATGATCATGTAAGTTGTTTATGGCTTCCAAAATTTTCACTCTGGCTTCCAGGTGCTTCTCCAATTTGCAGCTGTTGTTTCTCAGGACATTGTTGCCAAATTGCAGCTTTGCCATAATCTCAGCTGAAGGACATTGGCTTCAGCTGCAGGGACAATTTTTCTCATCAGTGAAATGGCAAATTTCAGCATGATTGCTTGCTGTTGGAAGGAACTGGTTGAGTAACACAGGGAGAGAAGGCACGGTCGATTTGTTTTGGGAGGAAATGTTTGAGTCTTAGGGATCAAGACTTAAAGAGTCATCCGAACACTTCACATATATAGGCCGATGAGGCTTAGTTCTCATCTCTCCTTATTAATCGATCACCAAACTAGTCACATCTCCACATTAATCCAATTTAATAATGTCCGCTAAACTTAGTCATTCTCATGGTTAATTTTGTATCTGGTTTAATAACTTTCGTAGTTTTGTTTTTTCTTAATTAGAAGGTTTGATATTCATATGATTTTATATTGGTGCCATGCAAAACTCTTCAAACCATGCCTAATTCACTTTTATATTGGCGCCATGCATATGGATATAAATATATTACTTTCTCTGAGAGCATCTTCAGTGGAGTCTCTAAATAGAGACAACTATTATATAGAAGTATAAAACAAATATATGGTCAAAATGAATCTCCAATGGATCGGAAAGTGAGTCTCCAAAGAGATACTTGGTGTATTTATTTTAAGAATAAATTAGGTTCTCTATATGTGTTTATTTTATGTTTTAAAATATATCAATAGTTATTTCTTGACTACATTAACAATTACGTGGGTACTTTTTCTTTTTGCTAGAACTATGTGAAAAACAAATTACTCTATTATTGATTTTTAAGTAATTGTTATACTTGTAACAATATTATTTGGATTTGTTTAAATTTCATAATTTGTGGGATATTGAATGTATAAATGCATTAGTTAAATCCCTTAAATGATTCTAGGGACCTTGATCAAATTATTTAAACAAATTAGATTTTATTCTAATAACTAGGTTGATTAGAGACTGGAACCAAAATAACCCATTTTTTTATTTATACCAATATTCTTTTTAGTTTTAATTTGTACTCATAATTTTGAATTTTAATTTGTAGCCATATTTTAAATTTAAATTGACATATAATGACTTGTAAATAATTTAATATTCAAATAATCACATGAAGAAAAGTCAAGGAACTTTGATAAAAAAGTAATAAGGTTTCAATAATGAGAAGTAGAAATAAGGAATGGGAACCTAATTTATTCTTTTAATATATATGTTTTTAATTGCAGTGCTAGTTCATTCGCTTTCTTTATTTCATTGAATTATGTTCAATAAAAAAAGAAATAGAATAACAGTAATAATACAATAATAATAATAATAATAATGCTAATACCATTTAAAATATAACCCCTTGGCCTTGGCATGCTTCTCAAAACGAACCAAAGAAAAAAGAATTGTTCATTCTGAGGCACTTGCATGATCTTAAGAATTGTTCATTCTGAGGCACTTGCATGATCTGATTTGCCTTTGGATCGGATCCCCCTTGGATTGATTAATTTGCTTTTAATTTTGGTGTCTAGACTCTGGACGCATGTTTGGGGTTTGGATTTGAACTCCTTGGACAAGAGATATGGTCCATCCATTTATATCAGATAGTAAGATTCAAATATATTTGCAATCATATTAGAAGCGACGGAATATAAATTCACAGCAAAACACAGTACGCAGCCACGTAGGATTTAACAAAGCAAAATCCACTAATGAGAAAATCCCCGGACACTTTGCCAGCCGGAAAACAATATGTTATAAGTCAAACAAATACAAAAGGGACTTGACAGAAACTCGGTCATACAAGAAGGCAGCTTCGTCCTCCCCACCCTTGCTACTTGAGTACTCAGCAAATTTGCTCTCTCCGCACGCAAGAGGCAAGACAGTGGTCGCGGTTGTCGATCATTCACTACACCACAAACCACTTTCTATAACAACCCAAAAATGCTATATAGAAAGTGTTTCATAACATTTCTCCAATGCTATGTTACTCTTTATAGCACTCATAAACTTTCTAAATGCTACTAAATGTTATACAATCATTCAACCGATGAAACATTGTCATTTCATCAATCAATCCTTTACGTCCATAAAATCTCTCCATTTTTATACAACATTCATCAACTGGTTCCTTAATGTGTTCATTTCAGTACAAAGACAAGTAGTATTAGGAAAGTTTCCTCCTCCATCACAATCCCTTACAATAATCCCATCATCTCCTCCTTCTCCTCCTACAAGACCATTTAACAAATCAGCTGCTTCTTTCGCTCCCCCACTTCAGTCTTAAAGCACTTCCTGTAGCTAATGACAATGGATCCTCCTCACACAGCTTCTGGCATATCGTTGCCGCAAAACATTTTGGATACAAGTAGCTATAATAACGTGCGTGCGCAAGCAAGAAATGCACATTTATCTGCCAAAGGCCATGTACGAAAACAAAAATTCCACATCCATCTATCTAATATCTACACATCATCTAATTCTCAAGGTATGTACCTGCACCATAATTCACAAGGCGATTATATCGGGTATGCCAGTGTGTGCCCTCGACGTGCTTCCAACTAGTATATTCTCTTTTAAGATCCGCCACAATGCTACTTGTTGGCGGGGTTGGCTGTTCCCCATAGACGAGGAGAAAACTTTAGATTTGAGAAAGATGGACTTAAAATCCAACCATAAGCAGCTAATCACGTTGACAGGGTGTGCAAAAAAGGCTTTTTCCCTTGCGTTTTTTTTTCCACAACCAGTAACTATCACTGTCACAACGGCCGTCAGTTTCCGTCTGCCTTGTACGCTTCAGAAGACTTCATCAACGCAGAGAGAGCCAAAAACATAGAATGAATCAAACAGCGACGTTTTCGATCGTTAAACTGCCCGCCAAACATCTCGAGTTCGATTCAGCTTTGTTTGCAATGGATTTAGGCCGGCAGCACAAGTTCCGAATATTCCTCCTTTTGATTCATATGAGCGATACATCCAAACCCTTTCAACTGTCTTCACAATAAATCTCATCTCTCTCTCTCTCTCTCTCTCTCTCTCTCATCGTTTCTCTCTTGTTTGAAAATGGCGAAGGAAGTTTTTTCTTATACCACAGTTCTCATCCTGATCACCTCCGCCGGCTTTGCAGCTGCTCAGCCTTCTGTGTCCAACTGCAGCCTTCATTTTGATTTGGGATCATCGCCGTCTCCAAATTCAACTTGCGAAGCAGGAAATTGGGGAGGGTTTCTCCGCAAAGACTGCTGCACATCGGCGTTCAATGTCTACCTTTACGCGTTGGGGCAGCATGCGAATCAAATAGGACTGATATACCTCAACTCTGCCGAGCAGGGGGTTTGCTTGGCTTCCTTGAAGAATCTGCAGAAGGATGTTTTAGACTGTGGGATTGAGAAGCTGACAAGTGGCGCCGGTGGCTGTTCTGACTTCACTGTTGCTGACGTTACAAATAGATTGGGAGACAAGTTGAAAAGCTTAGAGGTGAACTGTGGATTCCGGCTTTCTGATGGAAAAAATGGGCAGCTGTGCGGTTCTTGTGCGAATAGTTGGCAAGACATAGGACCATGGCATTCGTCATCCACGGATGCAGAATCTTTCGAGGTTGAAACTAATGTTTGCAGGTTCGCGGTGCTGGTGTCGTATACAAGCATAAAACTTGAAGATAAAGCACATCTTAGTGCAGTTTATAGTTGCCTTGGATCACAAGAAGGCTTCAAGTGTACGTAGCCTGATGAAACTTCTCACAATGCGTGTGCGCGTGCGTGTATTGATTCACTAAAATTTGTTTGTAAATGATGTTTTTCTCCTTGGCAGATAATCAACCACCAAAGGGTCATAGGAAACTCAGTAAAGGTAAGGCTTCTTCCATCACTGAATCAATATTTGCACTTTCAAAACTGAAAATCCGGTTCTTTCATTAACAATTACGACACTTTGATGGAACTAGGTTTATGGATTATGATCGGAGGAGGAGTCGTGGGTGTCTTTGTTTTTGTAGTACTAGCCGCCTGCATTTTGTCAAAGAAACGTACCAAATCAACTCCGCCACCCCCAAAAAAAGACGGTATGCCTGCCAATATTCATTCACAGTACAGCAACACCAAATTTAAGCTGCAATTAGCATATGGTGCATACTAATTAAGCCTGATTTGTACGTAAACAGCAGCGTTTAAAGATGTGATTTTCAAGGAATCAGGCTGTCCAAAAATTCCTATCAAGGAAGTGTATTCTGCTACAGACAATCTAAACCCAACAAATTTCATCGGTGAAGGAACTGCTGGTGAGAATCTAAATACCAGATGAAGCAACAAGAGTTTAGATATTCTATAATCTGATTATATATAATTTTATATTTTGTTCATAATATAAAAGGAAAGGTGTATAAGGGCATACTATCAAACAATCAGCGTGTAGCGGTTAAGCACATTATCAATGACGGAAATGTGGAGACATTTGCCAGAGAAGTTATGAGCTTATCGCACATCAGACACCCGAACCTTGTTATGTTGCTAGGTTATTGTGTAAATGAAGACGAGTGCTTCCTTGTCTATGAGCTTTGTCCCAACGGCAACCTCTCAGAATGGATTTTTGGTATTCTTTTGCCTTGACAAAAAGTTTTAGCTCTTTAAACTATAGGTTTTGTATAGATTAGTAAATGTATGTGGTAACTAAACAACAGGGAAAGATAGGAACCTGTCCTGGATCCACAGGCTTGAGATTGCAATTGATAGCGCTCGAGGTCTATCGTTCCTCCACACGTATCCAGAAGGTTGCATTGTCCATCGCGATATCAAGGTCTGTAGTACTAACTGAACAATGTCACCATAAATGAATGAAAATTTTGGACTCTCTAAGATTATGCTTTTATTCCTATTGCAGCCAACAAACATTCTCCTCGGGGAGAATTTCGAAGCAAAGCTATCAGACTTTGGACTCTCCAAGATTATTGAGCTGGGAGAAACCTATGTCAGTTCAGAAGTGAGAGGAACTTTCGGGTACGTTGACCCAGACTATCGGATCAACAACCACGTAAATTCATCAGGAGATGTCTACAGCTTTGGAATCGTACTTCTGCAGATCCTATCGGGGAAGAAAGTTATCAACATGAATCTGAACACACCAATGCCATTAAATAAACAGGTCAGAAAATAACCCTTTCCTCCCACAATCTTTCTTCAAATTGATTACATAAATTTTCCGGCATTGATTCAATTTGTTCTTTCTACTTGCTAGGCAAAGGTCCTCAACCGAGGTGGCAGCATTAATGAATTCGCTGATCCTAAACTTGACAGGGAATACTCAGAAGAAGCGTTTGATCTAACGCTTCAGCTGGCATTGTCGTGCACAGCACTCAAACAACAAAGACCGTCAATGCAGCAAATTGTTGTGAGATTACAAGAGGCGCTTGACATATCAACACGGGCAAAGGCCTCTACTCCTGAAGACTCACCAGAAGCAAGCTTCTCGTATTGAAAGTTTAAATCCACAAAACAGAAACAGAAACTATTAACTATTTAAATTATGAGTACTATTTTTAGTGTTCAAAGTCCAATTTTACTTTTGTAACAATACGTCAATACCGTTTGGTAACACACAGAATACAAATGCATTTGTGAATCTGCATCAAATTCGCGTGCAGACGTGTGCTGTGAGTTTTTTAAACCAGCTTTCTAAATGCAGGGGTTGGTAAACTAAAATGACAAATTTTGAAATTATGAAATAGTAAAAATTCATAGAACTTACAGATATACATGTAGTTCCATGCTCAAGTGTGCAATGTGGACATGGAAATTCAGAGGTACTAAGAAAATTACGATCGAACTTACTGGTTTCTTTCAGGAGTAGCAGGCAGCATCCTCCACCTGCAAATAGTTACTGAAGTTGTAAATTCCCAGTCTTCTTGTGCGTGCTCATCCTGTGCGCTCGTAAAAATCCAAATGCTTTGCACTTTCGAGCATGAAGGATCCCATTGTGGTTAACCTGCACCTTCTGCATAATGTATTACAACCTTGATGGATTTCCGAATGAATGGCCACAAGGCAAGAGTGTCACAGCATGCTTGTTTCATGCTTTTGATGGAAACGAAATCTTAGCTACTAAATTGAAATACCAAAGGCTAGAATCTTGGAGAATAGTAGTTAATATATTCATCTGTTACAAGTCATGATACCGATATATAAGAGCGAATAATTTAACACTATAGAACTAGAAAACTGATGGTTATTGCTAATCTACCTGCAGTATAAATTTACATCATTGTCACAAAAAATTTGTTCCTAACTATTCTTTCGTTAGTTCGTTTTCCTGTTCCCTGATTATTCATCTTGAACTAACCGTATATTGTCTCAATCTACAGAGAAATCAGGTTCATCTGGCTTTGACAACCGAGGCATGTCCAAACTGGGAGAAGCTGCTTCAACCGCCTGAGCTTTCTGTGCAATTCCTCGTTTTGTATTTGCAGCAAACTTGGAAGCGAGAAATGTGGCCCCAAGATGTAGGCCTTGGCCCGAATTGCTTGCATTCTCCCCTGATCTCTCACCACTCGCATCACCCTCAAAATTTCCACCTGCTTGTTCTTCGTCATAGTAGTAGTAACCATCTTCCTACTGGCCTGGATGTTGCATATAGTAGGAGCTCTCCTGCATAGCCAAGCCCCTTGCCATCTTTCGTTTCCTAAACCTTCTCGAAGCGGCTTGGATAAAGCAACCACCCCATGTCCTCCATTGGTGGGAATAGTAGGGCTCATTTCTTTACTTCGACATGCCTTCAATCTAGTGATTCATCTAATCTAATCGAATTCTAGCCAAATTTCGGATATTAGGGCTCATCTAATCTTTATGGAGAAAACCTTATGGCCCAAGAATCACCCCTAAATGAGCCCTAATATCCGAAATTTGGCTAGAATTCGATTAGATTAGATGAATCACTAGATTGAAGGCATGTCGAAGTAAAGAAATGAAGTCAACTTCCATATTTTGTCCAATTATCCATTTCCTTCTTGACCAATTCATCCTCAACTTCAACTTAAACAAAATTGGGAAGCTTGTGTCCATTTCTTCCTTCAAAATACTCTGACGAGTTATTCAATTCAATCCAATTCTGGACATAAACGTGTTAGAAATTACTTAATCAAATCACAGTTTGAATGCCATGCCTGAGGGACCGGAATCGTGGCGGCAAGATCAACAACAAAGTCGGACTTCAAGCAGCGGATGGCAATCTGGTGGGGGTCCATGACAAGGTCACCGCGGCCAAAAACCCTAGTACTGGGATTGACATAGGCAGTACGGAACTTGATGATCATATGGAGGAGGTAGAAGAGGTCGGTGATGGTGCGGAAGACGGTGACGACGACGGCGAGCTGGTTGTCGGTGGTCAAGCAAGCTGTGTCCCAACCCAGGGGAGGTAAAAGTAGAGAGGGTCGATGAAGAGGGCCAAAATGCAGATGACGAGGATCGCTGTCGGGGTCGAGAATTTGGTGGTTCCATAGGATTGTGAGCGGGTGCTGTTCGTCCAGCACGGCAGGGTTAGGGTTGGTGTAGCGGGGGCGGAATTTAGCGGCCGGCATGGCGATTATCCTATTCATCTTCCATGGCGGATTCCGGGGTTAACTCGGATTCCATGTGGAACCTCGTGGTACTGATCTCCACGCCCACACGCACACGAAGATCGAAATTGAAAAACTAAGAGAATGAATTTTTAAAAATTCAAATTTCATGACGTTGATCAATGGATGATGTGATTTGTTGGAGTGTTTAGAGAGAGAGAGAGAGAGAGAGAGAGACTGACATGGAGGAAATCCGTACAATGGCATGGGAGGTGAGAGAGAGTGGGGAGAAAGGGTTTCGTTATTTTTGGACCGTTGAGATTTTCGCGGGAAACGGGAGAAAAAGCGTGGACTTCGCTTTAACATCTACGTCCACTGTTTCAAATTCAATTCAAATAGCTTAAGCTGGGGTTTCTGTTTGCTCTCCTTCTCTTTGCAATGAGATTTTCGCGGCAAAATTTATAGTTTATATCGATGTTGGGATTAATTAGGGGTTGTATTAGCAGCACACACACAATTAAAGTGAATTCTTAGGCTATAGACTTGATTAACAAACAAATATAAGGTAATCGACGCCAACTAACTTTTGGTGTAGTCACATTACAAATGCTTTCTCATATAACACTTATATTGTCTGTATTATTACTGCTGCTACAAAGAGTGAGTAGTAAATGTTTGTTCCTTCCCATTTTTCCCAACTGTAAAACACATACTAAACTATGAACGACAAATATGATCAAAGAGAATAGTTATAAACTTATAAAGAGTGTAGAATAACCATTTAGAGTGTCAATAACAACTTGCTTCAATTTTTATAATTGAGTATTTAACACATTTGGGTTTAGATTATTTTTAATGAGCTCTCGTTGGATCGTGACTTATAACTTTTTTAGCTTAATTTTAAACAAATGAGAATTTCGAATGCTGAATCCCAAACCTACTCCTACCCATCACAACGTCATCTCACTTACACTCACTAGTACTGGAAATTTTGGAGAGAACAAAATAAAAATTAGGAACTAGTACTAGTGTGTGAACCAAATTTGTAGTTGCACAGATTTAGAAGCTCTATGAAAAACAATGTTCTAAAAAAGGGTCTAGGCGGCCGCCTAGGCGCTAGGCAGTAGTGACCCGAGGTGTTTTCTCGCCAATTGGTTAGAAAAATCGGTTGGGCTCTAGGCAATGCTAGGCGGGCTAGGCGGCTAGGAGGTTTTTTTTTTTTAAAATTAAAAAAAAAATCCTATCTACATTACTATATTTCCTTATTTTCCTCCTATTTTGCATTTTATGTGGTTTTAAATTGTGAACTTATTGTAGATGTGTCATCCTACAATACTCGTCACTATGGTTCTATGGCATATATGCTTAATGTGTTTTTAAATTTTGGACTTGTTGGATACTCTTTTTGCATTTTATTATTCTTTTATTATCTTATCCATGGATTTCATACAAGTTTAATTTTTTGTAAGTGTCAATACGCACTTATTTACAAGACATACAATAAATTTACCTAAATCCGCCTAGGCCACCTAAACCCCGCCTAGCCGCCTAGGTGCTAGGGGCCAACCCGCCACCCGACTATCGCTTAGCATTTTTTAGAACCTTGACGAAAAACAATCAACAATTACTTGAGAAAACGGGCATCTTTAGTTGACCACATTTGCATCGCGTGCAAACATTATTGGTGGGCAATTCTTTCACCGGCTTGCCTAAACCCTAGAGACAGAGACAGAGAAAGAGACGCACAACTTTCTAGGGTATTCTCCAATGTTTTGTTTCTTTCTTGTCAAACAAATTAATTCTGTAAACTTATAAATAAAATAAAATAATAAGCTTCAAACAGTAGGGACTGGACTGTCTGCCACAAAACCCATTAAGGGGCAAGGTGCCAACTGACCCTAAATTTCAGTGAATCTACATAGATGACTTGAACATTGTCTTTTTGAAGGTCGGAGTTGTTTTTTACATAAGTTCTTGAATTGCTTAATAAAATGCCTCAAAAAGGAGTTGTCGTTATTTTATTATTTTTTAAATATCAACTTGGGCATTATATTGTGTTCAAGTAGTGAATTTTCTCATTTGAAAGAAATTGGTAGTCTTGTAAAAAAAGAATGGTGGAGACAGGAGGAACATAGTATCTAATTATGTGTATTTGCTAAGGGAATTGTTATTAGCACTCTAAAAATCTTATTAGAAAGAAGAATACACTTGTGAGGAGTGTAGAATGAGATTTTTGGAGTGCTAATAACAGTTCCCATTGCTAGTTATATTGGTTATGATTCTACCGGTTGTTACTGTTTCAATGAAGAGAGCCTTTTCTGCTATGAATATTGTTCAAAGTCCATTGCATAACCGAATAGAGAGCAATGGTTGAGTGATACTATGGTGGTTTATACTAAAAGCAATGTTTTTCCTTCTATTGATAATTAAGCTATAATGCAGCATTTTCAAAATATGGAAACGCGTTGTGAACAATTATAACTTATATTGTAATTTGTTCTGCAAAATTATGAATGATGGAACTGTAGTTTAATTTTTAAAGTTACTATATATTTAAGGAATTTTTTTGTAAACTTTTACATATGATCCTCCAAATAATTTTTCCTAGATCCACTAATGCATAAAACTATTTGGATTGGTTGCTATCATATGAAAATGAGTGACAAGGACACATCCCAACAGTCCAAACAAGCAAAAAAGATTCAAAGAGTAAATACAAGTTTTTAGAAACAAAATTTATTCATGGAGCACAACACCCTTTCATAAAATAAAATAAAAAATTTAATAGGAAGTTAGGCAAACCCACCACAGAATCAATTTGTTGGTGACGTTCTGGTAAAGGCTAGCGACCTCGGCGAGGATCAGGAGGGAGAGTGGCAAATGCGCCGTGCAAGGCGACTTAGCGGCAGGTGAGGAAGATGAAGAGT